TTTGGTTTTCCTAAGCAATAGCTCAGTCTCCTGGGTACCCCCCTACTTCCAAGGTGGGGATTTCCCTCCTGCTGTAGCCCCGCCCCATTACCTGTTGTGCTGCATGAAGACCAGATTCCAAAGCTCCACCAGCTGAGGGGGCCCCACCCCTGCCGCCAGGTCATAGTGGATCTCAGTGCAAGGCCCACAGGGGCCAGTGTTCCCCATCTCCCAGAAGTTCTCTTGTGGCCCAAAGGCCAGCACACGGCTGGCAGGCACTCTGGGGAGAAAGCCAGGCCAGAGGTGGGGAGATGGGCAGGCCCAGAAGTCCAGGCCCCTCTCTGCCACAAGGGCCCCTCCCTCCACCTCACAGAGGAACTTGCTGACCGTGCAGTCTCCTGGGGCAAGCTGAGACTCTCAATCTCCCAACCCTCCTACCTTCCAGGAGTGGACCCCCAGAGCGGGTGGACTCACCCTAAGCTGAGCCAGATGTCCCTGCTCTCCAGGTCTGGGCCCAGTCCTGCCTTGGGGTCTCCACCAAAGTAGGAGACCCAGAGCCTGTCTTCAGGGATCCCGTAGACTTGGGTCAGCAGTTCCCAGGCCATGCTACAAGCCTCCTCCTACAGCAGGAAGAGGCACAGGGAGGGAGAGGAAGGTGGGGGGAGAGGAAGGCCCCTCTGCAGCACCGGGGCCAAGTGAGCTCAGTTTACACCACACCTGCTGCCACTGCTTCCCTTGTGCCCAAGCAGGCCACCATCATTCCGGCCTCTGAGGTTCCCCTGCCCCCGTGTAGATCCTGTGTTCTCTCTAGTCCCAAATCAAGTTGCACCTTCTGCACGGAATCCTCTGTCCCTGCCAGTCTGGGACGATCTCTAACTCCCCCATGCATCCTGGACTTTGAGTCAGAGTACCAACCAGCTAGCAGCAGGAGCTCCGGCCCTGCTCGCAAGGAGCTGACAAAGCAATGAGGGCGTTTCTACGACCTGTGCTCATGGGGACCTGGCCTCTGTGTCGGGTCGGGTGGAGGGCTGGCCCATGAAGACTCCAGGAGAGTGAGACAGAGGTAACCCGCGGCCTCCTTGGCTCACCATCTCCTGCGCTCTCCAGAGACTCACCTTGAAATAGTCACCCCCAAAGGCCCAGTTGCCCAGCATCTCAAAGAAGGTGTGATGGGAGAGGTCTCGGCCCACGTCCTCCAGGTCATTGTGGTGACCCCCGGCCCTCACACATTTCTGGCTGTTGGCCACACGCCGGAAGCCTGCCATCTCGCTCCGCGGGTCCACGGTGCCCAGGAAGATGGGCTTGAACTGGAAACACAGGAGAAGAAGCGTGTGGTCCAGCCCCTCAGGAGGACAACGGGACCCCTGGGGCCAGACGGAAGGTCCCTGAGAATACAACAGAGTCTTGGCTCAGACGGGAAACCTCAGAGGCTGGTTCAGGAATGAAGTAAAATCGTTTAATTTGTTTGTCAGTCGACTGGAAACGCCCACCCTCCTTGCCAACGGGCCCACTGTGACTCACAGGGACCCTTTGGCCAAGGCAGAACTGCCTCTGTGGGTTTCTGAGACAGCAACTCTTTACAGGCATAGAACGCCCCCGTCTTTCTCCCGCTGAGCTGCTGCTGGTTTTGAACTGCTACCCTTGCAGTTAGTAGACCCAGATGTAACAACTAACTATGCCACCAGAGCCTCCCCTAGTCAACACAGGTAAGACAAAAGAACTGTGCTGGTGCCTGGAAGCAGGGTACGCATGGCTGCATCCTTCACCCCGGTTTCTTCCACCAGACCCAACAAAATGAGGGTAAAAACCGATCACAGAGCACTCGGGGTACTCCCTAAGTGGCCCGAACATTTTGCAGCGTCTAGGGTTCACCTTCCTCC